TGCCGCGTCAATTAATTTCATAGTTAATTAGCAAGCCCGGACAAAACCGCGTCTGCCAAAGAAAGGCTAACGATGCCCGCCCGCGGCCGCCTACAATGCACCAATTACATCAGCTTTGTTGCAGAACTCCATTCGTATCACAGGTTCATTCAATTTGACTCCGAAGCTCCCTCTGACCGAAGCCGCGGTTCATTTCATACTTCAGCTTCTTTTTTTTTTTTTCAAAGCAATTCTCTTTCGAGATTTTAAAATTAGAACAAAAGGTACGAGTGTATCATCCAATCGCTATATGTTATAGGAACTAAGTAGTTTTTTTTGTTGTTTTTTTAAAAAAACGTTGCCCTCACTTGAGGATAACATTAGCCTGTGTTTTACAAACATAAATTTCACATGGACAAACATCCAGATGCGAAACAACTATCTGTGGAAAACACAACATTTCCCGTGTGGGAATCGAACCCACGACCCCCGTCGCCGAAGCCAATACCTTGGCACGTGCACTACGGAATCATCAAGTTAATTAGTGATTTAAACGGTGAAAAATAATTATTATACATAAGTTCATCATTTCTTTCATTCGGATTTTAAATGCATTCGTCGCTTTTTACAGTAAAGTAATAATGGTTACGTTTGTGAACATCATCTTATATCAGGCAAAAATGGCGGACAGTCAGGCACAATACCGTGATGGAACGAATATCACGACAATACGCCAGTATCCGGGCGATAACCCCAAGCGAATAAAACTTGAACTTCTGCTTAATATCAGGTTGTACGTACCGAATTGAACACCGGCGAATTGACAGACAGTGAAATATTTCATACGCGCAATAATTTAATTTGTAAGAAAAACGGGGCCGCGGCGGCACTCCACAAACATCTTGCACTCGAATTGACCTATTAAGCGTTGAAATTCGCGAAATAAACCCCGCTTATTCGCCCCGTAAAGACGAATTATGTTTTACAAACCTCGTCTCTTGTTATTCAGCAGGAAGAGGAAACGCGGAGATGCAATACAGATTTAATCGGAATCTTGGAAACGGCTCCAGCGATGTTCATGAAATTTAGTATGTGTGTAGGTTCGGGGGCGAAAAATCGATCTAGCTAGGTTTCATTTTTAGAAAATTTCCTTTTATCCCTGTTTTCAGGGAATGAAAATATCATTCGAATATGACGGTAAATTTCGCCGCAAAAAAATGTTATAATAGCTCGGTCGGTAATCGGGCGGCCCCAAAACAGACGGAACGGACCAAGAAAAAGAACCGAGCAAAGCTCGGTCCTCCAGGTACTAAATAATGATATATAAAAATGATAAATACTTAAAATCACTCGTAATCAATTAATTATATTCATTTTAACTAATCTCAAAACAGCGATCATTACTAACACGCACACAAGTTCGTTTCAAAAGTATACGACGCGTTTATGAATGATTACTGCATTGTCAACAAGTTCTGTTTATTAGGGAATAGGATGGCAATTTTTTTGAAAAAAAGTTTGTTTTTATTTCAATAAACGATTATACTACCGAGTCTGAACCTTCTGTGTGAATTTGGGCACCTTTAAAAAAGCCACCCTGTATAGATTTTTAATTTAGATACAGAATGAAAGTAAGGCCTTTATTCTTTTTATTTATTCATATAATCAACCTATTACAACGCAATAGATAGTATAAAAGCTGTTTGTATCAAGTTTTTGTTTAATATCAAGGCTCATGCATACAAGTAACTTTAACTTTATACCACTTTTTGTCTGTGTAAATTGAGCAAACAGCTTAAGACGAAAAAACCTGGACGGGAATACGATGCGAGACATCTGTAGTATTCCAAGATGCACTTGGACTTAACGTTTTCCCGTACTTGCATACATATATTTAAGTATGGGAAAACGTTATTATTTTTATATTTGTTAAATTGTACATTTTGATGAAGTGAAAAATAGGTTTATTAAGTTTTTTTTAGCCAAGTACACGGACAGTTATAGGTTATGTCACAATTAACTATAACTATTAACTATGTGTACTATTTAGACCAAACGGCATATTAGACCATGTCTGATTTTTGACAATTGTTTTTATACGACTGCAATATAGAAGCCGAAAAATGCATTCGGCTACTTCGCGTTTCAGTGGTGCTTAGGTGATCTAACGTTGGGGCCGGCTCGTCAGCCTGCACGAGCAACCCCGTTCGCTTTGTTTTCGCTGGCGATGTCATTAGTGGATGGCCCTCGATATTTTCACAGGCATCGATTATTTTTAATGGGCAGCCGGCGGCGGCGGTATGCCGCACGCCGTATCCAGGCTTACCATTGCAACTCGACTATCAAAGTCGCGTCGGTGCCGCGCTAAGCAGACAAGAACATTCGCATAGTACATAAAAGTTTAGATGTATTTCAAATGCATGTTTTCAGTTTGAAAAAAACAGGCAATTATGTCCTACACGATCTAAATTTTTTCACAGTTTTATACACAACTATGATAAAGAGATACAATATACAAGCATAACGCGAAAGTTTGACTTGAGGATTCTTTCGTATCGATTATTGTTGAGTTCACAGTAATTCCTTCACGAGAGCCGAGTAACGGCCCGCGGGCGCGATCATTAAGGAATCATTAAACGCGCCCACATAACGAGCAACCCTTGACGTGTCACCCCCATGCCCGTCCCATCGCCCGCTTTCGTCTTGACGAGTCTGATTGGGGCGTGAGGCTGTTTGTAGGTCAATTGGTCCCGTCACTTCATAATTCAATTGTCAATTACCGTAATATAATATGTTAATAACGGTTTCTATACATCTTCGCTCTCCCGATTGAATCGTAAAATGCAAAACGGTTTAATGTCAATGTAGCGATCGTTATAAGTCAATGTTCACGTAAGAAATCGATTATAATAAACCGGGACAAGTGCAAGTCGGATACGCGCACGAAGGGTTCTGCACCATTATCTATAAAAACGGTAAAAAATTATTTCTGTTGTATTCCCATACCACACCCCACTTAAATTTTTTTTAGTTCTGTCATTTAGTATTTCTTGTTATAGCGGAAACAGAAATACAGCATCTATGAAAATTTCAAATGTCTAACTTTCACAATTCATGAGATACCGCCTGGTGATAGATGGACAGACAGAAAGCGGAGTCTTATTAATAGGGTCCCGTTTTACTCTTTGGGTACGGAACTCTAGAAATATATCGTCAATGACGTCATCATAGAAACTTCAGCCTGTTTTAAGCTTATAACTCACTTTTGGAAGAGACGCCCGCGTTCGAAGATTAACAGTGAATATATTCCTAAGCTATATCATTCCCATCGGTTCCCACATTATGAAAAGGTTTTTGAACTATTCAAGCGGCACATTGTCAAATCAGCTTGATGATTCTTGCTTGGTTGCACTTCTGCTTTAAAATAAGAAATGTATGGTAATGTTTGATTTTTTATGTGAGAACTGTTACATCTATAAATCCTTTGGAGTGGCAGATGCTTTAATTTTTTTTAAATAATTAGCCCTCACCAGATGTCTCGGTTACATCACTCACCAGACGAAACGCAAAACTATTACAAACACTTCTAGTTCACGCAAAAACTTAAATGAGGCCGTGGTAATACCCTGGCATGCTCATTCGTGCAACATCAGAAGCTGCTGCGTGGCCCTACCACAGAAATTTTCACACACGAAATACGTATAAAGGAAAACTCATCGGTGTCCGCGACGTATTCGCACCCACAATCGTATGGACGAAAGTCTGATGTTCGAAGCACTGTCTTAATAACATTTATATATAGGTAACTGTGGTAGGGTTGCGCAACAGTCTTCGCTGTTGCACGAATGGGCAGGTCCGTCGGAGGGAGGTCCACGACCTCACAGAAGACCGACGTAAAATGAAAGTGTAAGAATTCAGCGTTTCGTCTGAAGATTAATCGGGGTTATCACTTTATTAAAAAGTGGCAACGCATCTACAACCTTCTATCGCATCTGCAATCTATAGGTTTTGCGTATGTCCATCGGCGGCAGTTATCACTTAACATCAAGTGAACCGCCAGGCCACAATCCCACATAAAAAAAAATAAAAAATAGTTTATTTTGAATAATGACACGCATTTCATTCAAGCGAGTTGAATAAAACGGCGGTTCACGAGGTTTACTTTTTAATTGTTCACGCTCAGGTAAAGTTAAAAGAATGTATCGTGGGAGCTTACGTAATATAGATTTACGGGGAGTTTTAAAACTACGATATAGTTGGAATCTGGCGGTGCAATGAAAAGAGTGCTAACAAAGTCGCGCGGCGGCGGGTGTCGCGGCAAGCAAATGAGGCGCGACGCTCACTGCTAACTAAACCAATCGGCCGTACTGACGCCACTCACGGGCGTTTGGAACGCGTAGGTTCGTCGGAAAGATGAGAGATTATACATTTCTTAATTTTTTAGTCATAATAATACAGGTTTAGCAACTAACTTGCTTTATAGAAGCCAGCCAAAATATCATATTGTTATTTAGATAAGTTTGACACGGAACTGTGTTTTAAATGATAATTTGATTATGAACTATATACAGAAAATATATAAAATCTTGAATCGCAACGTTACATGATCCTAATTTTTATTGTGGTAAAGCCATACAGCCGTTTCGCTGTGTTGCGAGATAACCGGGCAAAACTTTTTACGGGTTGGTATCACATTTGCAATCCCTCTGGTGTGTCAGATGAACCATTATGTAAGCCGCCTGATCATTTGCCACCTTCTCAGATAAAATAATCATTTTAGATTTCCAATTACATCTGCAATATATAACGAAGATAGACCGTTCCTCTTTAAACTGCATACTGCCCCTTCAAGAGGGCCTGAATCGAAAAACGCGGTTGGACGTGACGCCGCGTTCGAGACGCCGCGTTCCGAACGCCGTTTCGTGCAGCCGAACGCAAAACGGCGCTAACGAGGCGTCCGCACCGCGACACATCGCAACCCGTCTGTAACTGATCTGTTATTCATTCATAAAGCGTCGTTAGAGACCGTAGAGACCGCGCGGCACCGACGCCCGTTTGAAGCGATCATTTAGCATCATTTGCGGGAAACGCTTTTCACATCTCATCTGGTTTTTAATGCCGCCGCTAAAACCTTTCGTGCCCGCGAGCCCCACGCAAGCGATAGGTGCAACAATCGCTGGAATCTAACGCTGGTGAATGGTTATGGATTTTAAGTAAGTTTGTGTAGTGGATTTTGTTTTAGTAACATAGAGAACTTGCATTGAAGATTTTCTTACTCTACTTACCGTTGACAAATGCTCAACTGTTGTATGTTCAAGTTTGATAATGCAATTTAAAATTTAGTTATTGAGCCTAATTTGAAACATATGCTTCATCAGATCTTTTTCAGTATATGTAGATTTACGAGAGTGTTGACTATATTTTCGCTTTCAACAAAAAAAACCTTTATAAAATGTTGCTATACATGTCCCACGGCCGGGCAAAGGACTTCGATAAAATATTAAGTCAATATCCACCACGTGACTCCACAGTGGATTGGCAGACTTCATAAATCTTCTAATTTTTTTAATTATTTTGAAAATGTGCAGATTGTCTCACGATACTTTTCCGCGCTGAGAACGTGATAAGTCAGGATGTAAAATTAGCAACCGAGCGCCCAGTCACTGAGCTGTCATGACTGTAAAGAAAAACATTTGTAATAACTATTGATCGATGATGACTCCGTGGCGCATATTCCAGGCATTGGCCCCGGCGTCGGGGGTTGAGGGTTCGATTCCCACACGGGACAAATATTTGTGTGACCTACAGATAGTTGTTTTGCATCTGGGTGTTTGTCCGCGTAAAATTTATGTTTGTAAAACGTCCTTACAACACAGGATAATGTTATCCTAAAGTAGGGTCAACGTTTTTAAAAAAAGAAAAGAAAAACTATTCAAACATACACGCAATAAAAGTTTCAAAGTGAAATCCAATTAGTTAACATATCGCTAATTGTAACATAATTTCGATTTATTTACTTTATAGAAAATTAAATAGATTTTTAAAGATTTATATTTAGAAATGTATTTTTTAGTGTTTAAAAGTTATTAACGACCTTCATGATTATGCATGCATAATCATGAAGGTCGTTAATAACTTTTAAACACCTAAATGAAAATAGTTTAGTAAAAACTTTTTCTTAAGCTACATTTAATTTGCTAACATATCAGCAATAAATAATACTTTATAAAGACGGCGATAGTATCGAAATAAGCTCGAACGATGTATTCAGATCCAACGTATGAGGGAGCTCGTTATATCCGTTGCTGCGATGTCATATCAAAGCTTAATTTGGAGCATTAATTTAGCAGCTCGTTACCGTTGAGCCACGCTGTCCCGAGCACTGATATGCAGCTGAGTTTACGTGGCTTGCCGATTATATAACATTCGATTTTCAAATTCGGAACATTTTAATGCACACTCACACACACTTTTTAGTTTTGAGTGCTCATTTAAAATTGTTTTTAATAATAAAATAACAATAAATGTACGAAAATTCGGTTAAAATAGCATAAAATGCTGTACGAATGCAATTGCCATGTGTTAAATACGACTCCACTTGTAAAATAGCCGTGTATTTATGGCCGATAGACTTCATATCTTTTTTTTCATTTTCAATGACTGCTCCATAGAGTCTAAATTGCGTTTTGTTAAAAATCTTATTTAAATAACGAAGTTTTAGTTATGTTAATAACGCAATATAAGTATATGTAATATATGTAAGGTACGAGTATGAGTCTAATGTATAGTTTACAAACATTTTTCATGTACGCATTTATCAAAACTAATTTTGAATTGCTCGTTACGACTTGTGCATATTTCAGCGTAACCTATATAGGAGTTTAGAGAAAGATTTCAACATCATGTATTTCTTCTTTAAAATATCGTGGCCGTACATTTTTGGGGTATCATCCCTCGGTGAAAAGTCAAGCATAAAATAGTCATTTCTTCTTAAACCCATTTAAGTCCTTTACTTTCTTAAATTCGACTCCACGGATTTCACAATGGATTCAGGAGCCACTTCACAAATCGCCACATGGGTTAAAATTTTTGCGTGTTTTTGTATCTGTGATCTTTTGTTTGTATAAATCTGGCAGCACGAGGAATGTTGCCTGTGCGGGAGACCTTTTTTCAAGAAATAAGTGGAGGAAAATATTGGATGGTTAATTTTAATTAAAAGAATTCACTCATTTCAATATTAAATTCATATATATTCGTATTCATTCAGATATTCACATAGATTCATATGATAGAAAGAGTTCATATTAAAAACTTACTCCTCACCTATTTGAATTAGACCGCAGGAATAGCTCACGATAGTCATCTTGCCAACTGCCTTGCGGGCAGTTATTAATGTAAACAATATTTATGTTATGTATGTCAATATGTTATGTTCATGTCATTTTTTTTTTTTTTTTGAATCTTTTGTGCTGTTTGTTGGTTGTCAAAATAAAGTTTATGTCTATGTCTATGTCTATGTCTATGTCTATGTCGCAGTCGTCTGTGGAAATAATATCATATTTGTATGTTGCAAGAATGCTTGCAGACTCCTCTGGGGAACCTACCATGGTCCAATAGAAAATCGACATTTTTTTATTTCTGGTGAGTGAGATAAACAGGGCCTACTTCTTTAAAGGTTGGCTAAGAACCTCCAATCCCTGTGTTGTTAATATCCATGAGCGATGGAAATCACCTAACATCAGGTGAGCCACATACTTCCTTGCCATCATTTATCTTAAAAAAATCAAAATATTGAAAAAGAAAACTTTTAATACCGTTTTAATTTAAACTTTTTTAGAGAAAAATAAATCACTTTACATATTCCTCTTATACAGTTTTGTAACAATAACGTACTACAAAGAAAGTACTTAATACCAGGAAAGTAAAAGAGTTCGTAATTTGTGTATTAAATTTTACACTTTTAATTTTTATGAATTTAATGTGTGTAATTTGTAAATTTTCATGATGAGATTGCAGAATTCCTACTATTTAATTTAAGTCTCCCTAAAGTTTTAAAACAAACAACAAATAAACAATCTTTATTTTATGTCTTTCTTCTATATATTAAGTAAAAGTTTTATTTATTCGAAAAAAATCGCGCATGAGCATTACATCAAATTACAGTAACCTTTTTCTTTAACATGACCACGTCGATCAAACGCAGTCAAGCATTCATTACTTGGTTAACACTTTTTAATTCTTTCATGGATACCACTTTCAACTTATAAGTTGGGAACGGTGAATTATATTTGCATAAATTAAAAATAAAATATGTTAATGCATGGAGAACGCAAAATAAATTCTCATTTTAATTAAGTAAAAAATAAAATATTTCAAGTTTTTTTAGAGATATACATTATCATTTCCTATTCTAATACTCTTCGTCTTAGCATATAAAATAATCGTACCTTATTTCTAAGAGCTTGATTTCAATAACTCATATTAAATAAATATATATTCGTTGTATTGTAAAAATGAATACATTTAAATATGTTATACGAATTTACGAATAGAAACGCAAATAGATTCAGTAACGCATAGATTTTTCCAAAAACAAAACAAATTTCCAAACTGCACTAATTAAGCGAATAGAATTTCCGCACAGATATGAATAACTGCAACGAAACAAAAAAGGGAATCCACAACGGAGCGTTTATAAAGCGACCTATCAATTACGCTCATCGAAATTCGCTTTCTCGGCGAATGTTACCGAGATAAAAAAAAAACGGAGCGTGGAAAGATAGAGACCGCCGACGAAAGCACCCCAATCGAAATGGGAAAGTGATCACGCCAATTGCCATAAAAAGATCGCGGGCCAATAAAACGAGCAGACATCGTCAGCGATGATTCGGCGGCGGCGCGGCGCGCGGCGAGGGACGCTACACGGTTTGGGCGGGAGGACATTTTTATCCCGCGCGCGGAAAAACCGTTCCGAAATCGTATACATTCCGGATTGACGAGGTTGATTTGTTTTCGAATGAAAATAGAAAAAAGCAGTGCCTGTTTTTCGCGAGTATTGAAGATTGCTTTCGCACGCTTTTATTTTTATTTCACTTTTAACAAACATATGGTGTTCTTGAAGTTCCTTTTTGCAGAATTAATAAATACAGTAGCATAACACATGGAAATGTTACAGTGAATGATTAATTTCTGACTTCAAAGGCATTTTCTATAAAATGGGGACAGAATTGTTCATTATGAGATTTTTTTGTGTTATAAGTTTTATGTGTATGTTAAAACTTTTATTGCTTCAACCGCAACTGAACAAATTAAGTAATAGCAATAATACATTAATTACAGTCTAGTCTATATCACCGCAATGAGGAACTTTAGAATCTTATTAGAGTAAAATTAGGTCTTTTAGTCGCAATGACAGGTCCATCACTTTGAAAAAAAAAATATTTTATATAATATTTGATGTGGATGAAATAAAATTTAGATTCTTTTTTTATCGTTTTATAAGAAAAGCTTAAATTTTAATTAAAGTATAATTTCGGTACAGAATATATATTTATGACTTATATTTATTAAGTAAAAAAGGACATTTAAAAATATAAATGTACAACATAAAATATGTTTATTGTATTCGGGTTAAATTTTTGTAAACTAACTATGGAGTGTATTACGTTTCTTTAGAAAATAGCTTCTGTTTGAGTGCCTCTGGAAAAAAAAATCATTTCTGACTCACTTGTCTAGCGTGCGTGCGGTGGTGCGACGTTGTTGAAGGGAAGCTGTAGCTCTTCCTGAAAGTTTGTCTTGCAACTGTACCACAAACAAACCGCGAGCGGAAACCAGATCGAGCGGGAAATCGCACCGGAAGCGCGCGAAGTTGGGTTTCCGCCGAGCGAGCGGAGCGCTGAGGCCGCGCGGGGATGAGCAGCTGTCGTCGCGTCGTGAGGCCGACTGAGCGGCAGGAGACCGCGGCGAATTGCGCGCCACCGCTGGGCGGGCACGCCCGGGGGCCAGCCCGCGCCCCGCCCAGCCGCGGCCACGCCCACCTGAATTAATAAAGGCGGCAAACAGCGGCGGACACGCGGACAATGCCGCATTGTCCCGTGTCCAAAATAGTTTCAATTAGAACCCGAGAACGGGCACAAAAGCACCCGCCGGCCGGCGCATTCACGCTGAAATTGACCGCTGCATGCGCGATTAGCGAAACCTCAACGGCGCCTAACGTTCTCGGCTGTTCGCCATAGAGGATCTTTAAATTGCGAACGTCCACCTGGCGTCATCGTGTATCCAATCAGTATAAACAAACATACGGATTATACTCTTGCGTTTGGTACGAGGTTTTACATCTAGCAACTCAATATCAAACTCTGTCTGATACTGAGTTACTAGATGTAAAACAAACCTTATTGCGTTTACCCTTATCGTAAAGCAAATAATTTAATATGGTATAAAAAATACATGTACACCAGAATATTAAGAGTATTATTGAATAAATATGGCAATAATTGACAATACTTTGTTACAACTACTCATGTATGGAGATGTTTTTACAAATGTGTCGTGTAATGGCTTTTGCTTTCTCTTTCGAGATGAAATATGTATCCGATTTTAAACCCTTAAATAAATCAAAACATTGGCGCATATCTTTTATATTTTGAATTATCAAATATCAGGCGTTTTACTACGAAAACTGTAGATTTTCATATGAAGCTACATCCATTATTATGCCCTATATGGGTCGATACTTACAAAAATCGTCTCTTAGGTCGTTTGTGTAGATGACGATATACACGATATCTACCATCATAGCTTCATTATTTTAATGCTCCGTGGTAAAGGCTGTGCGATGATAGTCAAGTTAATTAATCAGTCAATTTCTCTTTGGATGCATTCAGATATTTCTTCATATATTTTAGACATTTTGACTCATCGTTATATTAGCCGGAAAAAGTAAAAACTGCGACAACTCGGTATATAATGGTTTAGTTGAATAAAATAAAATGAATCAATTCTTCATCTGTTTCATATAAAATATACTTATAAATTAAATAATGTGCGACTTTCAAAACAATTTAAGAACAAAACATGAGAGTAAGACATGTTATCAACGATGAAGGTGTTACTGGTGAACCATTTTATGGAATCGGAAAATGTTATAGGAAAATGTCAGTAAAACAAGAGAAATTTGAAATTTGTTTAGTATAATTATCAATATGTTTTTATGCAGAACTCTATAAAAACCCATAGCACTTAGGAATCGCGGTGTAGTGGTTCGCACTTTCACCGTGAAACTTATAGTTGTAATTTTTTTGACAGACCTAATTATGAACCACCATAATACCAATTATTTTTATTTTTCAGAGGATTTCAAAAATCTATCGGCTTTCTGTGAAAAACTTGTATAACAAAACAGTTTTTAAGGGTATTCAGCAACATGATTTAGTGGCAGGTAAGGCAAATACATTACCTACCACTGAATGATTCTTTATCACTTTGTTTTTAGGAGACATTTTTGAACAGAAAAGATGGCAAGCTAATGTTAAGTCCTTATCATCGCTAATGGATATCGAGAATAACTGTGCGACTTCGAAAGCCAAAACGCGAGCTCTGGTTACCTCATTCGGAAGACGAAACAAAAAGTATAATACTTCCAATTCACGACGACTTTCTTTAAGTCGTTAATTAATGTAAAACTATATCATTTTGTCAAATAATCGCATTATGTTCAATATCACTTCAAACAAATAAAAGAAATAATAGACAGACGTTTGTCTGTCTATTTGTTTTTTCCTTTTTAGAAACACATGTAACATGTGTATTTATTGGGTTTTTAGATTTTGTGTACCTACTATTTTCCTCCGTTCCTTATAATGTCGAATTTGCATTGTACATTCATGTGGTATAAAATATATATTAATCCCTAAATACGAAACGTATGAAAAGCGTGGATATTACTTGCTGAAAAATTTGTGATGGCGATTAAGTTAATGTTATGGTTTAAGTTATGAATGCGACCTGTACATTTTCTGTAACGCATTTTCGTTTTATTAGAATTTAAACAGTTACAAATCTATAGTCTATAAATGCCGTTAAATTACTCTATCGATGGACAACAAAGCGGTGTCCAAAGTCGGAAGCGCGTTGAGTAAAAACCTCTCGAATGAACGCCTCCCTTCACAGCGTCACAGGATTTGTTCAAGTCGCCACGTTCACGGCTCACGGTTCGCTTGTTAGAGTCACGAAGTGCCCGCTTCGGAACCACTGAACGTCCGTTTGCTTAGCTAGCCAGGGGAGGAAGGATCTCTCGCCCGAGCAAACATCCAGTCTGGCTTAAAATCTATTCGATTTCAAAACAAACACCCGAAATCCTTATTCTATCAAAACTATCTTGATCAGATTTATTAATTACTATTCGCCACGTCCAGGAAGCTTTGCATTTGTGCAGGTACCGTTGTAATATTTGTGAAGTGTAAATATCAAATATTCAAGTAATATAAAATTACTAATTGTAATATTTTAATATAAAACTACATTCTTCTAGTGAAGTCCTTCTCAAGTACCTTTCATTTACGTGAAAATTATATAGTTCAATTATTATATACTTATCTCTGACTTTAGGTACGTCGTAAGGACAGTTTTCATAAAAGTTATTCTTAAAATACTACAAAAAGCTAATAACGTTTTTTGCGCATGCTCTCATGCCGTTTTATAAAAAGTTGTGATGAATCACACCGGCACTAGAGCACAAAGCAGTGACCATCACCTTTCTGGGGATCACTTTTCTTTTGGGGCATTGCTTTGGTGCTGAACCACGATCTAACCAACTTGCTGAGCACTTTCGATTGTCGAACAGAATCCATTTTTCGTTGCACGTAACAATTCGGTTCAAAATTCCTTCATTTCCGTGCCTGTTAAGCAGCGCAGGGCAGATCTCGACGCGTACGTTGCGCTGGCGATCGTTAAGTCCGTTGGGCACCCATCTATCAAGTTTTTTTATCTTGCCAATTTGTCGCAAATGGACCAATATAGTTTTGATGCTAACATCATAGCTGCTGCTAGCTCGGCTGTAGATCGAGTATCATCAGCTTCTGCAATGGCCTTTAATTGATCATTGTTGACCAAAATGTCCGGATGCCCACGAGGTTCATTTTTCAAGTCAAAATTGGGTTGTGCGTTCGTTTCTAAAGTTCTCTCCATAAACGTTGATGTTACGTGCCGTTTGTGCTACGACGGAACTCATATTCCATAAGTACGCGAATTTTTGTATAACTTACAATAAAAATAAAAAAATGGATGTTTACCACAATTGACTGTATTAATAGTGAGCTAAAAGATATCATAAGAAAGAATCAATTCTCTGTATGATATCTCACAATGTCACAAATCGAAGCAAAACCCTTTTCGGTACAAAAACATTTATAAATATGGATAGTAATAGTATTGGATAAACATATAAAAAAGTTATTTTCATAAAAACATTGGGAAGGTTTAAATATTCTAAAATATTAAAGCTAATTTTAAATATTCTAAGGTATATTTAGATTACTAAACAGTCGGTCACCTTATTATAGGTTTGGCGTCTTGTAATGGGTGCCTTGAACTCTAACTGTCATGGAGCCAGGGAAATAGATACGGAAAATAACCATATTGCCACAGCTGATGCTTACGAAGACTTCTTCATCCGTCCATGAGCTAGAGCAGCAGGGCTCCCTGTTTGAAGAGGTATCTTTTGAAGATTTCACCGGATACCAAATAAAAGTTTGAACGCTATATTCAAATTTAATTTGAAACACATGGATATAAGTAGTAGCTAAAATTATATAAAATCACGAATTAAGGGGAGTGAATTTTGTTTATTTACGCTCATTTTTATGGAGCACGGGACAGATGAGCAGGCGAAAAACCTGCTGTGAACACCGTCGGCCAAAGCCATTTTACACTAGAAGAATAGATAGGAATAGGTTGTTCTGGGTTGCAGATTTTTTTTTTGAAAAACGCACTGTTGTGGAGTGCCACACATCAAACTGTAAAGATGGTATTTGGTAGTTTCAGGCAGATTTATTAAAACTAGATCATAAAAATTGTATCGTTTTTTTTTTTGAGTAAATCATTAAAATTATAATACTTTTTCTTACCGAAAGTTCATCATTACATAGTGCACGAAACTGATTTTAGATATTTGAATAAAAAGCATACATTCTACTGACCTTATAGAAAGGCTGCTCAGTCCAACTTTGTTCTTACATATTTTTGCAAAACAGATTTGCTGTTTTAGATTGCAGTGCTAAAATCGGAACGTGCGTAGAATAACGTTCTGTGGTCACATAGAACGAATTTGATTTTAAAGTCTTAATTATTGTCTACGCTTTCAGATAACATTTAAAATTTTTTCTTCTGACTTATAGATATTGAGATTCAGAATAGAACAACGTTCTATCTGATTTGTGCTCCGCAGTACAAGGACATATGTATGTTTAGACACTGTTTTTTTGTAATGACTAGACTAACCTTACTAATGTAATAGACGAGTGTAATGTACTCTATTAGAGTCGTTTGATAATTATTGCACAATCACCCACTTTTTTATGGATATTTCGTTGAAAACAGTGCTGCATGCGTTTATATCATACATATTTTCTGAGTTTTTAGTAGAACAATGTTATAAATGAACGTGTGACCTATTATTTTTTGGAATGTTCCGTTGAACAACGTTATATAAACGTGTATATGTGATCTTGTGACCCATCACTCTTATTTCCTAAAATTTATATAATTATTTATTAAAAAGTATAGTGTTTGTTTTATAGGCTTTCTAATCATATTACAAACCTCAAAAAAATGTATTTATAGCATTAACTGCTATGTATAAAAAAATTATACTGTACGAATACCGGCGAAAAAAGCGGGCTTTTTTTTTATAATTTGAACCGGCCGTCCTAAAAACAATATGCAATTTTGAAAGAGCCTGAGCGATCAGTTCTTCCAGAGGTGCATTTAAATAATCATTAATATTATAGTAGCCTTTAACACACAAACGTTCTTTTACTATTTTTTTAAATTTAGCTATTGATGCATTTTGAACGTTTTCTGGAATTTTGTTGTAATAACGTATACATTGTCCCATAAAAGATTTACTTATTTTACGGAGTCTACTTGTGGGTAGGATCAATTTATTTTTGTTCCTAGTATTTATATCATGAACATTATTATGTCTTAAAAATTTATCCTTATTTTTATGGACATACAAAACATTTTCAAAAATGTATTGAGCAGCAACGGTCAATACCTTTATCTCGTTAAACAAGTTTCTTAACGATTCTTTGGGGCCCAGATTGTAAACTGCACGAATAGCTCTCTTTTGTAAGATAAAGATTGTATTAATGTCGGCCGCGTTACCCCAAAGCAGAATGCCATAAGACATTAAACTTTTAAACATTAACTAAATGTTTCTCTATAATTCATGTACATTTCTTAATAATAGACATAATAAAAAAACGTTTTATCTTTAAAGCTTACTCTCAGCAGTTTATAAATAAAAAAAATCCTACAAATACATGTCCTGATTTACATTTTACTAGCATACAGGGTACACTGCCATTATAATATGGAGTACAATCAAAGTTTTAATAAGCATTATAGCACTGATGTAGTAACTATATAGCTGAATTCACAAATCTGCAACGACTAGAAAACGCTCATTCAAACGTAAAGAAAAAGTCAACTGAAACGAATTATGAATGGTACCGGAGTCCCCCCTCCTTATATTTCCGATCACGGATGGATTCTTTTATTAAACTCGGTAATACGCTAACGAGGCGTTCGTTCGTCAACATTATTTCAGCGGCGTCGAATGCAAAGCGTTCGATTGGCATTCACGCCGCGGACCCGTCGACCGCGTAATACATTTGTCATACATTAAACGTCGGCTTTTTTTCGATTTAGCGAAGCGGTGCTAGGTCTGTTTGCTTTTTTTCGTGTTTCCGCAGTGGAAACGTGTGCACGCGGCGTTATTTGAAAACATTTGTCCGATTTAGAATTTTTATCTTTCAAATGTACTGTACATTTATGGCGACTTCCTCTGTTGTTTTTTGTTCGACTATCGTAAACATAACTAGTTTTTTAATCGTACTAAAATCTGGTGTTAATTCTTTTTTTAAGGGTCGTTATAGAAACTCTTAAAATTACACGATGTGGTAAGCGATAATCTTAGCACGATAAAATATTATACCAAATAGCAAATGGCAGAGGAAACACAATTAATTTTCGATACTGATGTACCCACTAACCTAAAAGACTGGGCGAATTAAATATGGAAATATGAATAAGCATTTAGCTTCCCCCTGGGTGCTCCCCGGCTCACCTGTAAGTGGAGATGTCACGTCAGCCGACACGTCCACGTCCGACACCCATCATTGTCGGAGAAATAACTTTCGAAGGAAAATATAGTCGTGGATGTACATGAAGGGACCTAATTCTGAGGTGCCGTCTCAAGGCCCTGCTTCTCATATTTGCGATCAGGGCTCGCACAATCCATTGATTGAAATAATAGTAAAGTTACGATAATGCGTGCCTTTTTTACTTCACGTAACCCGTAAGTTTTCCGTTTCTCAGACATCTTAC